GAAAGCTCAACGCGGAAGAATGTAGTTAATAGCTTTTTTTTACTTCAATTACTGCGCCAGAGAACTATTTCCGTACACATAGTCAGTTGTGCGGTGCATGCGTAATAATCAACGCAAGTAAATATTACACTCGATAGCTATTCCGCAGCAAATGTATGCAAACAAAACCAGTAATGGCAGCCGCCAACGTCGCGAAAGAATTAATTAATAGATATTTATTTATATTTCAGCTTTCTTTAAACAAACAATATTTTAAATATTTAAAAATATTTTTTGGCATATTTAAAAATATTTTCAAGTGTATTTGATTCAGATTATGTAAAAAAAATAGTTTTTTAATATGCTAAAATATTTTTAAGTTAATTTGATTTAAAGCTCAAGTTTATCCCGGAAGTTCTATTCCTATTAAATGCTGTAAACAATCAGTATAACGATAAACATGAACTTGTAAACCAGACCAATGATGACAGAAATGAATTGAAATATTTAACTGAATCATAACAAAACTAAATTCCATTTCAGTGGAATGTTGAAATCATCTCCAGTGTTTTCTAACTTGAACCGTCAGCGGCCCAACGGGTCACAGGTAATCTAGTAGATATATAAATATGAAGAGAAATATCTAGTGGTGGCGGCGGTGTGAACGTGGTGGTCGTACGAGATTTAAAGCATTTTGCGCAAAGGTAAATAAAAGAATTAGGAAGATGCTGAAAAAGAATGAAGGTATGACGTCGTTTGAAAAGACTTCATAGAAAGTTATATAGATGAAAGAAATAAGGGGAGAAATGGAACGAGTGGGGAGAGGAAATCCTACGACATCTGGAACATTTTCAGGGGTGACAAATAATAGACGGAGGAGAAGAGGAGGAAAAAAAAAACTTTGATGCAATGTCAATCGTCAGGTTCTGAGCTCCTTGATGGCTGCTTTTTTATTGTCATCTTTCCTCGGTAACATTTTCCCAGTTTGCTACATTCTACTGGCTTTCATCCTCAATAACCCGTCAGAGAAGAAACGAGCGACGCGTGCAGGTCTGACGAGGTTTGGAACATTTTGATGAGTGATACCCAGTAGATGAGAAGTGGAAGAGACGGCTGACATATATATATATATATATATATATATATATATATATATATATATAAACAGGAATGCTTATGGCAGGTCTTCCGATGTTTGGAATATGTTGAATAAGGATAAATAAACAGCCCCAGGAAGCGAAGCAGATGAATATATTAAGTGTAAACGAAAAGTATAGGTGATGAATACTTATAAACGAATGGTGTAAACGAAAAGAGAAAACGTGAAAATAACTGAAAATATCTATCTATATCTCTGAGATGAGGTACTATGATTATTTACATTATTCAGACTGTTATCATCATCTTCATTGGCATATTCACAACGTTTCGGCCGTTGTACGCTCCGGCCTTCATCAGGTGATTGTAATTTCGAAGCGAACCCTTTATTTGGCCCCCAAGGGTAGCTTGTTCTAGTTCCACGTGATATGCCTCTTCCGGGTGTCTCTTTAACTCAACACTCCAACGTCTTTATCCACTAGGCCATGGACACATGGCCTAGAGGATAAAAGCTAAACAATGTACCATGAAATAGAAAAAATTCGCTAGAAGCAAGGAAAAGAATGCTGAACCGCTACGTGATATCTGTCCTCAGGTATGGCAGTGAGTGCTCGACGATCCCCTAAAAGATGAAAAGGAGACCTGAAGCAACAGCGATGTGGTTCTAGAAAACGGATGCTGAGGAGAGCTGGACCGAACTGGTGAGCAACGACGAGGTATTGGAGAAAGTGGAAACAAAAAGGAAACTAATACAGGAGGAAGTGATGGTTGAAGTTTCGAAGGCACTTATTGAGGAAGGAGGGCTGGGAAAATCTGATACTCACAGGACGGATTGAGGGCAAGAGGGACAGAGGAAAACAACGCATAATACACGTGAGCATTGACTAAATAGATTGGAGAACAACGCTTAGGCGAAATAACATAAAACAAGAAGTCGTGAAGCGCCATGATCGCCCACGTCCTAAGAGGAAACGACACATAAAGTTGAGTATAAAAGAATCTGACAAGGAAGGCAAAATAAACAACAGATTTTCGGAATTTGAAACGTTCTTAAAAATATCGGTAAATAATCAAAAAAACACATTTGAATTAACATTTACTAATAAGAAATTATTATTTATATGAATTATGTATCACCTGCTTAATCTGTGCCACGTTTACGGCCATATCACCGAAGTTAAGCAACGTCAAGCCTGGTCAGTAGATAGATGGGTGACCTCTTGGGAATACCGGCTGCTGTAAGCTTGGGTGAGTGGTTAGTATAACGGATAACAGCTGCAATCAGATAGCCGAGTTCCAATTCCCGTCAGGTTCATTATATTCACTTTCACGCAAATATCTTTGAGAAAGTTATGAATCCATCTCTTCTATCCCCCCAGCTATGGGTTAAATAGTAGGACGCATATCAGAAAATCATTATTATCTCCAAAAAGTTTTTACAATCTAAAAAAAACTGCTGGCTTTAAATAAACTGCAAAAGGTTGTTAAACCGTAAAAAACAAACTAATCAATCAATTCTATGTACTATAATAATTGATATAGTTGTATATTTTTTTTAAAATTTTAATAAAAGATATGAAGTTAAAGCCCGAGCGACAATTTTGTGTTGTTACGTTTAAACATAACACAAGTTCTTTTTTTTTTTTTTTTTCATTTTTTCCAGTTTGTGTAAAAATGTTTGTACCTATATGACTCAGCCGTTTTAATATTAACGGGAAAAAATCTAGTGATGGCGCCTTAGTCCTCTTCAAACTAGACTTCTTGCGATATCACACATTTATGCTAACGACTTTTACAGGCAATATTGATATTACTGTCAGTGTGAAACTTCATTTTTACATTTGAAACATTGGGGAAATGCGGATGAGTCAACTCCGTAGAAATAGCATGGCACATCCGAGCAGTAAAGGTCTGAACTAGTGGGATTAAAAAGCGGAACTGTTCACAACCATTACTATGTAAATAGCAAGAGACTAGCGATAGGCATATAACATTCCATCTTTGGCCCAAAATGGTAGGTTTTAACTTTCATCATACATTTAAAATTAACCTTCTAGCTCCTCGATCGCTATTTCCATGGCAAATGTTCAGATGAGATACATTCTTTAGTTCCACCAGCTCACACATTTACAGCTAAACCTCTCTCTATCGCTATTTCCATGGAAAATGTACAGATGTGCTATATTATTTAGTTACACCAGTTCAGGCCTTTACGACTAACCCTCTTTTAACTCTATCTCTATTCTCATGGCAAATGTTTAGACTGGATAAATTTCTTAATTCCACGAGTTCATGCCTTCAAATCTAGGACACGCCATGCATAGTCGACTCATCTTCATTCCCTTCGTATTTCATTGGTAAGGAGGAGGTACCACTCTAACAGCTTCTTCCCCAGAACAGTTACTTTGTGGAACAAACTCCCAAAATCATGCTTCCCAGATTACTATGATCTTAATCTCTGCAAGTCTAGGGCCAACCGTTATCTATACGCCTGTTATACAAGAATAAATTGTCGCTGCCGACACTTGAGTTTGAACACAGATCGCCAGTGAGCAAACACAGGCGATCCCATTATTGCATTAAGTAGACCACGTGACCAAAGAGGAAGACGCATGCCGTCTTAATGATCTGTATTTTTAGTCTATCCTCTATTACCATTCGGATCTCTATTTCTACACTACCCTCCATTACTGTACGGACCGTTATTCCCTACTCTCTATTCATTATACCAAAAAGAAATAAGATAAAAAAAAAAGTGAGTAGGAAAATAAGGAAAGAAAAAAGAAAGAAAGAAAGAGAAAATAAGAATTTGGAAAGATGAAGAAATACAAAAATCAGGAATAATGAAGAATGAATGAAAATGCATACGAAACGTCAGGAACAAAAGGAAATAGAAAGAATTTGAAAAAAGAAAAGGGAAATAGAGAAAGAACGAAAAAGAAAGAAAGAGAAGAAAGAAAGAAAGAAAGAAAGAAAGAAAGAAAGAAAGAAAGAATGACAGAGAAAATAAGAAATTGGATAGATAGCGAAATAAAAAAAATCAGGATTAATGAAGAATGAAAACGCATGCGAAAAGACAAGAAAAAAAGGAAAGAGAAAGAATTTGAGAAGAAGATGATAAATAAATAAAGAAAGAAAGAAAAAAGAAAGAAGGAAAGAGAAAATAAGAAATTGGAAAGATGAAGAAATCTAAAAATCAGGAATAATGAAGAATGAATGAAAATGCATACGAAAAGACAGGAACAAAAAGAAAGAGAAAGAATTTGAAAAAGAAAAAAGAAATAGAGAAAGAAAAATAAAAAAGAGAGAAAGAAAAAAGACAGAGAAAATAAGAAATTGGAAAGTGAAGGAATACAAAAATCAGGAATAATGATGAATGAATGAAAATGCATACGAAAATACAGAGACAAAAGGAAAGAGAAAGAAAGTGAGAAAAAAAGATAGAACTAACTAACTAACTAACTAAATAAATAAATAAAGAAAGAAAGAAAGGGAATATAAGAAATAGGAATGATAAAGAAATAAATAAAAAAAAAATCAGGAATACCGGAGTATAAATTTAAATGAATACGAAAAGACAGAAACAAAAGAAAGAAAGGATAAAAGAAAAAAAGAAAGAAGGGAAAAGGTTTTTGGAGACATGAATAAATAAAAATAAGGAAATCAAAAACCAGAAAATAAAGAAAAAATGAATGAAAAAAGAAAAACGGAATACAAAACGATTTAAAAAAATAAGTAAAAATTAAAGAATGAAATAGAAGAAAGAACAAAATGAAGAAAAAGAAAAAAACAAAAAGAAAAAACAGTAAAATAAAACAGTCTGACACAAATGGAAGAAAAAACAAGGCAAAAGGATCGATGAAAAAACAAAAATGAAGAAACAAACAGAAGAAAATGAATTACGATCTCATTTTTTTCTCCTTTTAAATGAAAACCGAAGAGAAGGAAATAAAAAATTGAGAAAAGAAAGAAAAAGAAAAGAAAGAAATAAAAAGAAAAAAAAAATACAAAAACCCCTTTATATTATGGAAAGCTTGAAACATGAATATGAAAGGAAAGAAGACGAAAAAGAAAGAGACAAGTGAGAAAATGAAAAAAGAAAGAAAGAAAAAGGAAAAAAGAAAGGCAATGAAAAAAAAGGAAAAGAAATAGAAAACTTCTGTAAGATGAGGAAAGTCTAAAACATGAAGATGAAATGAAAGACGGAAAAGAAATGAACAAATGAGAAAAAGAAAGAAAGAAAGAAAGAAAGAAAGAAAGAAAAGGAGGTAAGGGAAAGCTAAATTAATTGAAAGATTCTGTAAAATGAAGAAAGACTAATACACGATGATGAAATTAAAGAAGAGGAAAAGGAAAGAAAGAAAGAAAGAAAGAAAGAAAAAAAAAAAAAAAAAGAAAAGGAGGAAAAAGTAAAAAGGAAAGCTAAATTAATCGAAAGATTCTGTAAAATGAAGAAAGCCTAATACACGATGATGAAATTAAAGAAGACGAAAGAAAGAAAGAAAGAAAGAAAGAAAGAAAAAAGAAAAGGAAAAGGAGGTAAAGGAAAGCTTAATTAATCGAAAGATTCTGTAAAATGAAGAAAGCCTAATACACGATGATGAAATTAAAGAAGACGAAAGAAAGAAAGAAAAAGAAAGAAAAAAAAGAAAAGGAAAAGGGAGGTAAAAAGGAAAGCTAAATTAATCGAAAGATTCTGTAAAATGAAGAAAGCCTAATACACGATGATGAAATTAAAGAAGACGAAAGAAAGAAAGAAAGAAAGAAAGAAAGAAAAGGAAAAGGAGGTAAAGGAAAGCTAAATTAATCGAAAGATTCTGTAAAATGAAGAAAGCCTAATACACGATGATGAAATTAAAGAAGACGAAAGAAAGAAAGAAAGAAAGAAAGAAAGAAAGAAAGAAAGAAAGAAAGTAAGAAAAGGAAAAGGAGGAAAGAAAAAAGGAAAGCTAAATTAATCGAAAGATTCTGTAAAATGAAGAAAGCCTAATACACGATGATGAAATTAAAAAGAAGAAGAAAGAAAGAAAGAAAAAAGAAAGAAAAAGAAAAGGAAAAGGAGGTAAAGGAAAGCTAAATTAATCGAAAGATTCTGTAAAATGAAGAAAGCCTAATACACGATGATGAAATTAAAGAAGACGAAAGAAAGAAAGAAAGAAAGAAAGAAAGAAAGAAAAGGAAAAGGAGGTAAAGGAAAGCTTAATTAATCGAAAGATTCTGTAAAATGAAGAAAGCCTAGTACACGATGATGAAAAATTAAAGAAAGACGAAAGAAAGAAAGAAAGAAAGAAAGAAAGAAAAAGAAAAGAAAAGGAGGTAAAGGGACGCTAAATTAATCGAAAGATTCTGTAAAATGAAGAAAGCCTAATACACGATGACGAAATTAAAGAAGACGAAAGAAAGAAAGAAAGAAAGAAAGAAAGAAAGAAAGAAAGAAAAGAAAAAAGGAAAAGGCTAAATTAACTGAAAAGGAAAGCCTAGTAAATGATGAAATTAAAGAAGACGAAAGAAAAGAAAGAAAAAAGAAAGAAAAGGAAAAGGATAAACGAAAGCTAAATTAATGATGAAATTAAAATGAAGACTAAAAGAAAGAAATTAAAGAAAGAAAGAAAAGAAAGAAAAAAAGGAAAAAAAAGGGAAAAGGAAAGCTAAATTAATCGAAAGATTCTGTAAAATGAAGAAAGCCTAATACACGATGATGAAATTAAAATTAAAGAAAGAAAAAAGAAAGAAAGAAAGAAAGAAAGAAAAGGAAAAGGACGTAAAGGAAAGCTAAATTAATCGAAAGATTCTGTAAAATGAAGAAAGCCTAATACACGATGATGAAATTAAAGAGGACGAAAGAAAGAAAAAAAGAAAGAAAGAAAGAAAGAAAAGAAAAGGAAAAGGAGGTAAAGGAAAGCTAAATTAATCGAAAGATTCTGTACACGAAAATGAAGAAAGAAAGAAAATAAAACGATGATGAAATTAAAGAGGACGAAAGAAAAAAAAAAAAAGAAAGAAGGAAAGAAAGAAAGAAAAGGAAAAGGAGGTAAAGGAAAGCTAAATTAATCGTAAAAAGATTCTGTAAAATGAAGAAAGCCTAATACACGATGATGAAATTAAAGAGGACGAAAGAAAGAAAAAAAGAAAGAAAGAAAGAAAGAAAGAAAGAAAAGGAAAAGGACGTAAAGGAAAGCTAAATTAATCGAAAGTTTCTGTAAAAATGAAGAAAGCCTAATACACGATGATGAAATTAAAGAGGACGAAAGAAAAAAAAAGAAAGAAAGGAAAGAAAGAAAAAAAGGAAAAGGAGGTAAAGGAAAGCTAAATTAATCGAAAGATTCTGTAAAATGAAGAAAGCCTAATACACGATGATGAAATTAAAGAAGACGAAAGAAAGAAAGAAAGAAAGAAAGAAAAAAGAAAGAAAAGGAAAAGGAGGTAAAGGAAAGCTAAATTAATCGAAAGATTCTGTAAAATGAAGAAAGCCTAATACACGATGATGAAATTAAAGAAGACGAAAAGAAAAAAAAAGAAAGAAAAAGAAAGAAAGAAAGAAAGAAAAGGAAAAGGAGGTAAAGGAAAGCTAAATTAATCGAAAGATTCTGTAAAATGAAGAAAGCCTAATACACGATGATGAAATTAAAGAGAGAAAAGAAAAAAAAAAAAAGAAAGAAAGAAAGAAAAAGAAAGAAAAGGAAAAGGAGGAAAAGGAAAGCTAAATTAATCGAAAGATTCTGTAAAATGAAGAAAGCCTAAATACACGATGATGAAATTAAAGAAGTAAAAAGAAAGAAGAAAGAAAGAAAGAAAGGAAGAAATTCTGTAAAATGAAAGCCTAGTACACGATGATTAAAAAAGAAAAGGAAAGCTAAAAAAATTCTGTAAAATGAAGAAAGCCTAAAATGATGAAATTAAAGAAAGAAAGAAAGAAAGAAAAAGAAAGAAAGAAAAAGGAGGTAAAGGAAAGCTAAATTAATCGAAAGATTCTGTAAAATGAAGAAAGCCTAATACACGATGATGAAATTAAAGAAGACGAAAGAAAGAAAGAAAGAAAGAAAGAAAAGGAAAAGGAGGTAAAGGAAAGCTAAATTAATCGAAAGATTCTGTAAAATGAAGAAAGCCTAATACACGATGATGAAATTAAAAAAGAAGAAAGAAAGAAAGAAAGAAAGAAAAAAGAAAGAAAGAAAAAGGAAAAAAAAGGAAAGCTAAATTAAAAAGATTCTGTAAAATGAAGAAAGCCTAATACACGATGATGAAATTAAAGAAGACGAAAGAAAGAAAGAAAGAAAGAAAAAAAAAGAAAAAGGAGGTAAAGGAAAGCTAAATTAATCGAAAGATTCTGTAAAAAATGAAGAAAGCCTAATACACGATGATGAAATTAAAGAAGACGAAAGAAAGAAAGAAAGAAAGAAAGAAAGAAAAAAGAAAAGGAAAAAAGGTAAAGGAAAGCTAAATTAATCGAAAGATTCTGTAAAATGAAGAAAGCCTAATACACGATGATGAAATTAAAGAAGACGAAAGAAAGAAAGAAAGAAAGAAAGAAAAAAGAAAAGAAAAAGAAAGGAAAGCTAAATTAATCGAAAGATTCTGTAAAATGAAGAAAGCCTAGTACACGATGATGAAATTAAAGAAGACGAAAGAAAGAAAGAAAGAAAGAAAGAAAGAAAGAAAGAAAAGGAAAAGGAGGTAAAGGAAAGCTAAATTAATCGAAAGATTCTGTAAAATGAAGAAAGCCTAATACACGATGATGAAATTAAAGAAGACGAAAGAAAGAAAGAAAGAAAGAAAGAAAGAAAGAAAGAAAGAAAGAAAAAAAGGAAAAGGAGGTAAAGGAAAGCTAAATTAATCGAAAGATTCTGTAAAATGAAGAAAGCCTAATACACGATGATGAAATTAAAGAAGACGAAAGAAAGAAAGAAAGAAAGAAAGAAAGAAAAGGAAAAGGAGGTAAAGGAAAGCTAAATTAATCGAAAGATTCTGTAAAATGAAGAAAGCCTAATACACGATGATGAAATTAAAGAAGACGAAAGAAAGAAAGAAAAAAAAAAGGAAAAAGGAAAAGGAGGTAAAGGAAGCTAAATTAATCGAAAGATTCTGTAAAATGAAGAAAGCCTAATACACGATGATGAAATTAAAAGAAGACGAAAGAAAGAAAAAAGAAAAGAAAGAAAAGGAAAGAAAAAAAGGAAAAGGAAAAAGGAAAGCTAAATTAATCGAAAGATTCTGTAAAATGAAGAAAGCCTAATACACGATGATGAAATTAAAGAAGACGAAAGAAAGAAAGAAAGAAAGAAAAGAAAGAAAGAAAGAAAGAAAGAAAGGAAAAGGAGGTAAAGGGAAAGCTAAATTAATCGAAAGATTCTGTAAAATGAAAAGCCTAATACACGATGATGAAATTAAAGAAGACGAAAAGAAAGAAAGAAGAAAAAAGAAAGAAAAAAAAAAGGAAAAGGAGGTAAAGGAAAGCTAAATTAATCGAAAGATTCTGTAAAATGAAGAAAGCCTAATACACGATGATGAAATTAAAGAAGACGAAAGAAAAAAAAAGAAAGAAAGAAAGAAAAGAAAAAAAGAAAGAAAAAAGGAAAAGGAGGTAAAAAAGAAAGCTAAATTAATCGAAAGATTCTGTAAAATGAAGAAAGCCTAATACGATGATGAAATTAAAGAAGAAGAACGAAAGAAAAAAAGAAAGAAAGAAAAGGAAAAGGACGTAAAGGAAAGCTAAATTAATCGAAAGATTCTGTAAAATGAAGAAAGCCTAATACACGATGATGAAATTAAAAGAAGAAAGAAAAAAAAAAGAAAGAAAGAAAGAAAGAAAAAGAAAAAAAGGAGGTAAAGGAAAGCTAAATTAATCGAAAGATTCTGTAAAATGAAGAAAGCCTAATACACGATGATGAAATTAAAGAAGACGAAAAGAAAGAAAGAAAGAAAGAAAGAAAGAAAGAAAGAAAAGGAAAAGGAGGTAAAGGAAAGCTAAGTTAATCGAAAGATTCTGTAAAATGAAGAAAGCCTAATACACGATGATGAAATTAAAGAAGACGAAAGAAAGAAAAAGAAAGAAAAAGAAAAGAAAAAAGGAAAAGGAAAAGAGGTAAAAGGAAAGCTAAATTAATCGAAAGATTCTGTAAAATGAAAGCCTAAAATGATGAAATACACGATGATGAAATTAAAGAAGACGAAAGAAAGAAAGAAAGAAAGAAAGAAAGAAAGAAAAGAAAAAGAAAAGGAAAGAAAAGGAGGTAAAAGGAAAGCCTAATAAATTGAAATAAAGAAGACGAAAAGAAAAGAAAGAAAGAAAAGGAAAAGGAAAAAAAGGAAAGCTAAATTAAAAGATTCTGTAAAATGAAGAAAGCCTAATACACGATGATGAAATTAAAGAAGACGAAAGAAAGAAAGAAAGAAAAGAAAGAAAGAAAAGAAAAGGAAAAGGAGGTAAAGGAAAGCTAAATTAATCGAAAGATTCTGTAAAATGAAGAAAGCCTAATACACGATGATGAAATTAAAGAAGACGAAAGAAAGAAAGAAGAAAAGGAAAAGGAGGTAAAGGAAAGCTAAATTAATCGAAAGATTCTGTAAAATGAAGAAAGCCTAATACACGATGATGAAATTAAAGAAGACGAAAGAAAGAAAGAAAGAAAGAAAGAAAGAAAAGGAAAAGGAGGTAAAGGAAAGCTAAATTAATCGAAAGATTCTGTAAAATGAAGAAAGCCTAATACACGATGATGAAATTAAAGAAAGAAAGAAAGAAAGAAAAGAAAAAAAAAGAAAGAAAAGGAAAAGGAGGTAAAGGAAAGCTAAATTAATCGAAAGAAGACGAAAAAATGAAGAAAGCCTAATACACGATGATGAAATTAAAAGAAGACGAAAAGAAAGAAAAGAAAGAAAGAAAAGAAAGAAAAGAAAGAAAGAAAAGGAAAAGGAGGTAAAGGAAAGCTAAATTAATCGAAAGATTCTGTAAAATGAAGAAAGCCTAATACGATGATGAAATTAAAGAAAGAAAGAAAGAAAGAAAGAAAGAAAGAAAGAAAGAAAAAAAGGAGGTAAAGGAAAGCTAAATTAATCGAAAGATTCTGTAAAATGAAGAAAGCCTAATACACGATGATGAAATTAAAAAGAAAGAAAGAAAGAAAGAAAGAAAAGAAAGAAAAAGAAAAGGAGGTAAAGGAAAGCTAAATTAATCGAAAGATTCTGTAAAATGAAGAAAGCCTAATACGATGATGAAATTAAAAGAAGACTAAATTAAAAGGACGTAAAGGAATTCTAAATTAATCGAAAATTCTGTAAAAGAAAGCCTAATACACGATGATGAAATTAAAGAGGACGAAAGAAAGAAAGAAAAGAAAGAAAGAAAGAAAGAAGAAAAAGAAAAGGAAAAGGAGGTAAAGGAAAGCTAAATTAATCGAAAAGATTCTGTAAAATGAAGAAAGCCTAATACACGATGATGAAATTAAAGAGGACGAAAGAATGAAAGAAAGAAGGAAAGAAAGAAAAGAAAAGGAAAAGGAGGTAAAAGGAAAGCTAAATTAATCGAAAAAAGTAAAAAGAAAGCCTAATACACGATGATGAAAGAAGACGAAAGAAAAGAAAGAAAGAAAAAAGGAAAAGGAGGAAAAGGAAAGCTAAATTAATCGAAAGATTCTGTAAAATGAAGAAAGCCTAATACGATGATGAAATTAAAGAAGACGAAAGAAAGAAAGAAAGAAAGAAAGAAAGAAAAAAGAAAAGGAAAAAGGAGGTAAAGGAAAGCTAAATTAATCAGAAAGATTCTGTAAAAAAGAACGATGATGAAATTAAAGAAGACGAAAGAAAGAAAAGAAAGAAAAGAAAAAAGAAAAAAAGGACGTAAAGGAAAGCTAAATTAATCGAAAGATTCTGTAAAATGAAGAAAGCCTAATACATGATGAAATTGAAACGAAAAGAAGAAAAGAAAGAAAGAAAGAAAAGGAAAAGGAGGTAAAGAAATAAATTAATCGAAAGATTCTGTAAAAAAAAGAAAGCCTAGTACACGATGATGAAATTAAAAAAGACGAAAGAAAAGAAAGAAAAGGAAAGAAAGAAAGAAAAAAGGGAAAACGAGGTAAAGGGACTAAATTAATCGAAAGATTCTGTAAAATGAAGAAAGCCTAATACACGATGATGAAATTAAAGAAGACGAAAGAAAGAAAGAAAGAAAGAAAGAAAGAAAGAAAGAAAGAAAGAAAAGGAAAAGGAGGTAAAGGAAAGCTAAATTAATCGAAAGATTCTGTAAAATGAAGAAAGCCTAATACACGATGATGAAATTAAAGAAGACGAAAGAAAGAAAGAAAGAAAGAAAAGAAAGAAAGAAAAGGAAAAGGAGGTAAAGGAAAGCTAAATTAATCGAAAGATTCTGTAAAATGAAGAAAGCCTAATACACGATGATGAAATTAAAGAAGACGAAAGAAAGAAAGAAAGAAAGAAAAGGAAAAGGACGTAAAGGAAAGCTAAGTTAATCGAAAGATTCTGTAAAATGAAGAAAGCCTAATACACGATGATGAAATTAAAGAGGACGAAAGAAAGAAAAAAAGAAAGAAAGAAAGAAAGAAAGAAAGAAAAGGAAAAGGAGGTAAAGGAAAGCTAAATTAATCGAAAGATTCTGTAAAATGAAGAAAGCCTAATACACGATGATGAAATTAAAGAGGACGAAAGAAAGAAAAAAAGAAAGAAAGAAGGAAAGAAAGAAAGAAAAGGAAAAGGAGGTAAAGGAAAGCTAAATTAATCGAAAAATTCTGTAAAATGAAGAAAGCCTAATACACGATGATGAAATTAAAGAAGACGAAAGAAAGAAAGAAAGAAAGAAAAGGAAAAGGAGGTAAAGGAAAGCTAAATTAATCGAAAGATTCTGTAAAATGAAGAAAGCCTAATACACGATGATGAAATTAAAGAAGACGAAAGAAAGAAAGAAAGAAAGAAAGTATGAACAGTCAAGTAGGAATGGTTTCATAAGAAATAAAGGCAGAAGCAAATATAAGGGAAGCTAAGAGCGAGAAAATAAAGAAGAACACAGACCAAAAATGAAAGCATAAAAAATATCAAAAAAATGTACAAAAGAAAGCCTGAATGAAGACAGACAGAACCGCGAAATAAAGAAAACAATGTAAGAATAAAAATAAATAAAGAAAGGAAATCACGAAATGACAGACGGAAAATAAAAAAAATAAATACGAAGAAACCAAAAAAATAGAACCTCTACAAAGGACAAGAAAAAAGATTTATATAAAATAATATCCTAATAAATAAAGAAGGAATGAAAAGAAATCCATTATAATCACGTTAAGACGTATCTTCACAGTTCTTTTTACCAATCGGAACACTTTTACCAAAATGATTTTGATTGATCTTACCAAGTTGTCCAAGTTGAGCCAATTACAAATATCCTCTTTTCCGCTTGGCAAAGAGGGTAATAAATATCTATCAAGTGTACTGAAATCCCTGCTCATAATTTTTCCAGAACTTTAACCAAGAAACCCACAGCTCTAAAGTCATGCGATATTTCTTGATCAAACACAACTTACTTTTATGAGAATTTAAAGACTTGACCCCCAACTCCTAAGGCCATTAATATTTTTCCAATTGAGAAGGAACGCACATGCGCCCATTTAAATAAGTGGCAAAGAGAATGACTACTTTTCTCTTTATTTTACATATATATATTATATATATATATATACATATATATATATATATATATATATATATATATATATATATATATATATATGTGTGTGTGTGTGTATATATATATATATATGTGTGTGTGTGTGTGTGTGTGTGTGTGTGTGTGTGTGTGTGTGTCTTATTGACATTTTATTGCTGACAAAATATTAAAATAAAATGTTGAACTTTTAGATTCGTCTCTGGGTCTTTTGAAGTCTTTCTACATGGGAGCGTAGTGGGCCAAACATTTCGACATCTAAGTACTTTTTTTTTTTTTAAAGGACTTCAATATATTATTATTATTATTATTATTAGTAGTAGTAGTAGTAGTAGTAGTAGTAGTAGTAGTAATAGTACTGCACTAATTGAAAGTTCGACATTAGTATTATCTGGTGTCTGACACAAAAGACTAAGTGACATGAAGTGCTCTCAGTACTTGAACGTTATTCTTACTTACTTTTTGTAATGTTGTCGCCTGAATGGCCGCTGTTTTTCTCCCAAGTTTCCTGTTCGCATAGTTATATCGTTCAGCTCTTCCTAACTTTTCAAGGCACTCCAACAATGATGAACTCAACGGTCGCCTTCGCGTACAATAATTCATTTTACTAAGGACATAAAATTATTATTATTATTATTATTATCATTATTATTATTATTATTATTATTATTATTATTATTATTATTATTTCCATTGATTTCAGTTATATACACATTTTCTTACGGGTCCCAATCAGAAACCTAAGGTCAGAAATGGCATCATGACATCTTCCGTTGATCATTTTTGTAAAAAAAAAAAAACCCAAAAAAACTAAAAAAACCTAAAAAACTAAAAAAAACTAAAAAAACTAAAAAAACAAAAAAAACCCTAAAAAAAAAAAACCTTAAAAAAAAAAAAACCCTAAAAAAAAACCCTACCCCCCCCTAAAAATACTAAGATCACACACGCATTTTTTTATAAACCCCATCGTAATCTTTGGGCTGTACATGTGAGTAAATTTTTTTTTGTATTTCTTTAAGGCATGGACTACCAAGAATCCCTTCAATATGTCTATATGAACCTTTTCCAATCAATCCGAGTGATCCAACTACTAATGGAATTACTGATGTCTTCATATGCCTTGATTTTAGATTTCCACTTATTATCATTATATTTTGATAGATTTTTGAAGATCTTCAAAGATACATTACAATCTACAACGACTGCCAAATCAATAAGAAAGTTCATTCTGTTCTTGTAGTCTTTGGTCATGATGCCTGGCCAATTAGTTTTGATTATTCTCTCTGTGAGTATTGCAAAGTCCCATAAAATTGTTATAGGTCCTATGTCTGCAATTGAGTCTAGGTGATGACACAGTTCGATTGAGCCACTTTAAATGTACATTATGGAACCTTGTAGCTAATCAAGTAATACGCTTAAATAACTAGATAATCATAATCCAATTAATTTTTCTATTTACTTTTGATAAGAACTATCCCTTTAAAAATTTTCTGATGAAGGATTCTTTTCCTGGAAAAGTTATAATAAAATTCTTCTTTGCCAGTTAGAATTTACCGAATATTATTTCAGATTTAAATGATTTTATCTAAAAACGAATCACTACTTAGCTTCCATGGCAAACCATATAAAACAAAGATGATGGAATACTTGTATTCATTTACTCATAATTTTAGGAAAAAGGCATGAATCTACTTCCCCCTGCACACTCATCATCACCAGATATCTTGACAAAAACCTTTTTTTTTTACTGCGGCACACTTTAAATTTTAATAGATTTCATAGGAAATAAATCACTCATTCTTTGTATGTGCATATCTAAACTCTTCTGCATGTTCTTAAAATATTGAAAATAATGTTATATATATTTATAATTTTGCAAATTTGTGAAGAAACGAGGGAATAGATAAATGCCTATTTACTTAAAAAACATTAGATGTTTCAGTTACTTAAAAAAGAATATATATGTTTCAATCAAATTTCAAAGTTCAGATCTTATAAGATTTAGTCTCTAACTTTGAGATCATAAACTTATAATTATACTAAGAATAAAAAATAAATAATTCATAAATTAACCTTCTGTTAACTTTGGGCACACCTGGCTACCTCTCAAGGTGCATTAATGAGAAATGCTGGGTTCTAGCGTGTGGCTGTTCAGAAGATTTTTTTTTTAAGTTTTGAAGATCAAAGTTGACAGGTAAGCAAGAAGCCGGAAGAGAGTTCCACAAATGAGAAGTGCAATAAAAAAAAGAAAATATTAGCATACAACTTAGTTACTTCTAGGCAATTCAACTGTAAATTGATGAGATCTTGTAGCTAATCTAGTACTTCACTTAAATACAGAGATAATTATAATAATACAATTCATTTTCTATTTACTTTTTGAGAACAAACAGCCCTTTAAAAAATTTTCTCACAGAGGATTCTTTTTTTATGGAAAAGTTACAATAAAATTCTCCTTTCACAGTTAGAATTTACCTAATATTATTTCAGATGTAAATGATTTTATCTAAAATGAATCACTACTTAGCTTCCATGGCAAAACCATATAAAACAAAGGTGATGGAATATTTGTATTCATTTAGTCATACTTTTATGAAAAAGGCATGAATCGACTTCTTCCTGCACACTGTCTCACCATCACCAGATATCTTGGCAAAAACCTTCTCTTTTTTTTTTTTTTTTTTTTTACTGAGACACACTTTAAATTTTAATAAATTTCATGGGAAATAAATCACTCATTCTTTGTATGTGCATCTCTACACTCTTCTGCATGTTCTTGAAATTGCATTTTCCACTATTATAGAATATTGAAAATAATGTTATATATATATTTATAATTTTGCAAGGTAATAAAGCCACTAAGACACAAGGGGTTACTGAGTGTGAAAGAATTAGAAAACAGAAACATTATTATGGAACAAGAACAATAGTAATCAGGAAGACTGGAGATAACAATTAACATTGCATTTATGCATTTAAAGTTTTGAAGATCAAAGTTGACAGGTAAGCAAGAAGCCGGAAGAGAGTTCCACAAATGAGAAGTGCAATAAAAAAAAAAAATATTAGCATACAACTTAATTACTTCTAGGCAATTCAACTGTAAATTGATGAGATCTTGTAGCTAATCTAGTACTGCACTTAAATACAATAATAAAATTCTCTTTTCCCTCAGTTAGAATTTACTTAATATTATTTCAGATGTAAGTGATTTTATCTAAAATTTATAAATATAGATTTTTTGCCAACAAATGTATATTTATTAACCGGATAAAAATTTTTTAATCATTTCACCCCAATCAAGGTAGTAAGGCTACTAAGACAAAATAGGTTACTGAGTGTGAAGAAATAAGAAAAGAGAGAAACATTATTAAGGAGTGAGAACAATAGAAGAGTAATCAGGAAGACAGTAGATAACGATTGGCATTGCATTTAAATTTTTGAAGGTCAAATTTAACTGGAAAGCAAGAAGCTGGAAGAAAGTTCCACAAGAAAGAAGTGCGAGAGGAGAAACTGTCTGCATAGAACCTACGGTTAGATCTAGCAATTTCAACTGTAAATTGATGTAACCATGTCTATTACTTCGCTCAAATTCATAAAGTCTAGTTACCATAATGAAGAGTTAATCCGAACAATTACCATGAAAGTATTTATAGAAAAGGCACGAGGAAGCAACGTTACCCATCAATTTTTCTCTTCTCATAATTATTTTGTTAAATTATTGGGATTGTTCCAAGCACTCAAACAATTCTGGACTATTTTTTTTTATGGCACAATAACAGTATGGTATTATTATTATTATTATTATTATTATTTGTGTATGTTAGGTTTCCTGCTTTGCATCCTGTACAGCTGGTTCCAAACTATGGTCCTTAGGCCCTATAGGAGCATTGTCATTTAATTGATAGCATTTTTCTTAGTATATGGGATGTTCCTAATAGAGCGATCTTCTGGGTAACTTGTCTATTGACGTTACCTGGGACACTGTTATTAAAAATGTCTATTACTTTTCTCACGAGACCCAGAGCTCCAACTATTATTGGTACAGTCTTAGCCTTCATTCCCCACATCCTGTTAATCTCGATCTCCAGGTTCTTGTATATGGACAATTTCTCGATAATTTTTATAGAGGTGTTTCTCTCAGATGGTACTGCTATGTCAATAAACATACACTTTCTAAACTTCTTGTCTTTTGTGATAATATCAGGTCAATTGGCTTTTATTTCCCTGTCAGTTTGAATTGGCATGACCCAGAGGATAGTTACATCATTATTTTGGGTAACTGTGTCTGG